CCACCAGCCTTTGCAAACGCTTCCAATAAACTTTACTTCTGACTAACTCAGAGAGATTTGTGGTGCTTGTTTCACACACGCTGAATAAAATAAAATAATAAATAAATATTTAAAAACTTCTTGTGTTCCTCCTACAAGATGTGTCGCAGATTATATAGGCCTTTTTTTTTTGGTAAAGATTGTTTTTTAAAAGTCAAGGTTGATAGGAAAAAATTGAGGCATGGAATAGGAAACAGTAATGCAACATATAATGTTACATTATTATATTTTTATACATTTAAACATTTAATGTTACATTTTTATGCTTTTAAAGATGTCAGTTTCTTACTTTAAGATCCTAAAGTGTAGTATGAATTACTTCAAAAATCATATTCAGTGGCTAATTCAACCATTTTTAATGTGTGGTTGGGTGGCTTATTTTGCCATAAAGTATCAAATTCATAAGACTTCAATTATAATTTATACAGTTATAAAAATATGCTGATGTTTAACAAAAATCCAGAGTTTAATATGCTGAATTCTGAATGCTGACTTTCAGTAAAAAAGAAGAAAGTGTTTTCAGATCTGCTCTTATATGAACCTGAAGGGCAAATTCAGAGAGCAGAAGGAAGAACTCAAGAATCTCCCTCCAGATTTGTTCTGTCATCATAAGGATGGCAAGAAGTTCCTTATTTCTCTTTTAACCTCTGTAAAAATAGATGGATTGCTAGCTCCTTCACTGGACTGCCAGGTCTCTGAGATGTAGTCATTCTAGCAGGAGAACAAGAACTCATCCACCAAGCTCCACAATAGTGAACAAGGTAGCCCACAAACAAAGAAGGCAGTACAACTCTGAAAATGGCAGTGCCTTCTAGATGCCAAAATGCACCTCACTATTTTAAGTACTGCTAGTGTAGAAAAGTATTCCTGGGTATAGTTTTTAGGGATCATTTTGAATGAATTAAGGATTTCAGTATTTAAAACTCTTTAAGTAGTGTTTAGCAAAATCCAGTCTCCGGCACATGGAAACCCTTGAACTCCCCTACTCTCAGCTTGGTAGTTCCTTCCCTCCATACTCTTACCATCTTCTTTTCCCACTGATTCCCTTGGCTTGGCAACTGAAGAATCTGAAGGCAAGGAAAAGGCATAGAAAATAATAATAATTGGTGCAAAACAACAAAATATTCAGAGGGCTATAAACAAAGCAGTGAGAAGAGTGGGTCAGCTGAATTAGTATTAATATTTAGAAAAAGTCCTTTAGGGCAGTTGTTCTCTGCTCTCAGAAGCAAACAAGAGGTTGCATTTAGATTTCTAATCCAGTATAATTAAGCTAACATTTATATGCAATTTTAAAGAAGAAACTTGTCTATAGGGCCCCTTTTTAAAGGGTTTTTTTAAAAAAAAAAAAAAAAGGAAAGAAAATGTGTTTAATTAGCAAACTGAAGTTAGCTGAAGTCTTATTTACTTACATGCTTGCAAGTAAATTATACTATCGTATGCTTCAGAACTCCTGCTAGGTTTTTTTTGGACAGAGAAATCAAATGCACCCAAGTAAAGCCAGAGATCTAAGGGAAAGGGGCAGCTCGACTTTCATTTGAAATCCTCTTTTCAAGTATAATCCTGGATTTGAGCACTAAATGCAGTCTGAATGAAAGGTTTGTAAAATGGAAACAAAACAATAAAGATCTCAGCGGTGAAGAAGAAATTGCCAAACATAATCTATGGTGGATCAATCCTAAATTGCCAAAAGTTATCTTCTGCCTCCGACCATACTGCTCTCATAAAATTGCTCTCTCTTAGCATCAGAAAGTACACTTTGTTCAGCAGCATACGAATGTCAATGTAATCATATAACAATTCAACATTTAGTCATGTGTGTGTTTGTTTTATATATATATAGGCTGCCTGACCATCACAGTGTTGAGTGTCATTCAGTATGAATTGGAGACAAACAATATGAAACACAAGAAAACCAAACTTCTGGAGAAAAATATCAGTCTCTAGCAAACCAGTGTTCATGCAAGGGATCTGCCACCCACTCCACCCCAAGGCCTGTGGGAAGAGCCAGGTTTTATGTGCCCATTTAAATAAGGTCAGGGTGGGGGCGATACAAAGCTCTGGGGGGATTTTGTTCCAGAAGGTAGGCACCACAGCAGAGAAGACCCACTTCTCTATCAGGTATATCCAGTTGTTCTGCTATGGCTAAATATTTGCTATCTAAGTACTTGGAGAATTCACTCCAAGGAAACTCCATAACTGAGCAAGTTTATACAGCACATGGGAGAACAAACTGCATCACAGTTATTCAAGTCTTAGGACATCCATATGTACCTGTTTGATATTTCAAAAATAAACCAGAGATAAAGTGAAGTAATTTTCATGCCTCAGACAATTTATACAACCAGCACTGCATGATTGCAGCAATAGACCTCAAAGCATTCCAGCAAAAGTCTTTCTACCTTCATGTATTAGTCCAATATTACTGAAATCCAGAGTGTTTATTGTCTCCTGGTAGAAATGAAGGCTGAGTACAGAACTTCCTAGAAATTATTGCTCTGCCCACCAGGAAAGGGCTGAGTGCCATATCCTTGGAATTTATATAAGACAGACATTTCAGAAACTTTATAGGACATAGCTCACACATTGTGCTCATCTATCATGTTTGGGGCTTAATATAATGCTGGAACTCCATCATTGTGATGAAGCGGCAAGACATGAGTTCTCTTCAGAGAGTTTTGTATGGAATAGCAGTCAGCCAACATATTTTAAAGCTGGAGAGAAACTGGTGGGGTTTGCTGTGACTGATATGCATAATGGACAGAGGGAATTTGCAATGTTATGTTATGCCTGTGGCTCTTAAGCAACCCTTGCTAATCCTCTGTTAGCTGAGTTCCAGACAAACAAAGCCTGTAACCTATCCAGCAGACATAGTTTTCCTGGGACTGGTGTTTTGATCCTAGTTATCTTGTTATGCTGCCTACCCTTTTGGTAAATCTTTGGATAGTGAGATCCTGGAACCCATAGATAAGCTGTGCATTTTATTCAGCATTTTATGGGATACCTTAGAAAAGTACAGGCAAGTGGTCTGTGTAACACTATTTACCAACCAACCAGGTCAATGGGACAGGGTAAATGTGGTTACTCAAGACCACCATTAATGGGGAATTATACCACCTTACTATGTTTTCCTCAGAGGATGTTGATTTGGACTAGAAATGTGTTAATGCCTTGTACTAGTTACTCAATTTGCAAGAGAACTTGCTTTAGAAGTTATCTCCCTTACAGATCCACTCATCTGTGTAATTCTAACCTACAGGGACATGATGGCTGTTCAAGGAACTCTTGTGGGTACATGAAAAACATCAATTCTGTTCTGTCTGGCTTTGTGAATAGGAGGCACCATTTGGAGATGTGGGAGCATTGGATGATATCTTGTGGGAAAGGAGATATTGTCTGGAGGTTTGTCAATGGTTTCAGAGAAACAGAAGAGAGACTCAGGAGCAATAGGATACTCAGGTAGTCACCATGAGCACATGAGGAGGTTACAGGCTCTAAAGTAAGAGCAGTAATAGATGGGGTGCCATCGAATGCTTTACCCTACTGGGATATTGGGAAGTGGCCACACCATAGGAGAAAATGCATTCTTTGATGGCAAGTTGGTACATCTGGTGCCCAGGCCTTTCCCTGGGCATGCAAAGATTCCAGTAAGTATTGTTGGATCTCAGGTGGCTGTGATTCGGGCTCTCCAGGAATTGATTGGGCACACTGCACTAGCTATACATATCTTGGGATTTCTACCTCATCCTGCCATTTGTTCACTTGGTTTGTGCTGCCCCAGTGTAAAGTGCTACCCAACTGGATTTCACCTGCAGGGGAAAAACTAGTAAACAGAAAGCAGGAAAGAATACTGAACATCGGGGGGGGGGGGGCTAAAGCAAAAATAACCTGAGCAGAATCAGCCCAAAAGCCCCAGCCCTGGGATCCAGACCCTGCATTCTCTCTTGATTCTTTTTATTTGGAGCAGACTTGGGGAGTGGTGCAAACATTAGCTTCCCACTCACAGCTCTTCAGTTGCAAAACACTCCTATAAACTAAAGCTACAGAGTGTTCATGAAATGGCACCGTCGCTTATGAATGTTATAGGCCAGGAGAAATAATTACATGGGCCTTGAATGGAGAATGAGATAAGAATGAGATTATTTGGGTCACTCCAAGACACCCTTAGAGTTGGGGGTGGGGGGTGGGGGGGGAACAAAAGAAAAAGAAATACTGTTTGGCTTTATCTTATGCTGCAGCCAGCTAATACACCAGGAGGACTAAAAGAAATGTATGTCATTCCATGGATGGCACTGAATTAAGGTGTATGCAGAGGGAAGGATTGTATATACTTATCTCAAGTCAATATGACATGTCTACAGCTAAAGGCTGCTTTTGCAATACCATCTAAAATTGGTAGCAGCTGCAGAAAAAAGTAAAAATTTGTGGTGCTGCGGAAGATATTGGAGCAAAAGTTAAGGCATAGAGGATAAATAAGAAGATTGTGATCTTGAACGCTGCTGTGGTTCATTTTTGCATTACCATTCCCAAACATTATTTTTCTGGGGTTTTTTTATTTTTCTAACTACATGAAGGGAGCAAGGAGGGTCTCTACTTTTCTGATTTTTATTTTAGACCTTTTGTGATCTAAGTTGCAGGTACATTAAAAGTTTAAAAAATAGGAAAAAGTCTTGGCCACCAGAAAAGAGATGTAGATAACATGCTTAGGTCAGACTTAAACTCTGCAGGTCTCACTTAGTAAATCAATAGACTATTTAGATGGAGCAAAGAGGTTAGCATCAGAAGTGACATTATCATACACCACAGCCTCTGCCCAGCTTGTTGAATGTTCAGGCACTCTTTCTGTTTTCTTGCACCAATAATTGCAGAAACATCTGAATACCACAGTGGATGTACATACTGAGGAAGCCTGGATGAAGCATATGCTCTGGTGCAATCTTATCTGAATGAACAAGCACTAATTCTAAGAATTTGGGAAAATTATTTGTGGGCTGGGAAACTGGAAGCAATTTGTATGAAATTACTTCGCCAATGCCCTCCAGCTATTCGGAGTTTCTCCTGACTGTATACTAGGAAGAAGGCAAGGATATTTGGAGAGTTGAATATGAGGGATGTGGCAGATTATGAACATTGGTTACATAGGCCAAGATTGTATAACTTGTTTATGCTACTGATTTATTTTCAATTTACCCAGCTAAACAACAGATGGAACACAAAGTATAAACCTGAAAGGAACAAATGGACCAGAGATGGAGAACCAGGCAAGACCTAATTTTTATCTTTAAAAAGTGAATTATGAAACTTTCTGAAAGTTATAAATAAATACTTTGGAGAATTCTGAAGTCAAACCTGTTGTTTTTGTTCCAAGGTCATCTCCTTAGTGCACACGCTGCTCCCTCCTGCCAATTGCCCTGGTGCAGACGGACCTCGTGAAGGACAGGGAACTTCCAAGCAATCATCCATTTTTAAAGGCATGCAAAACCTGCAATGACAAATCCATGAATTGTGTATGTAGATCTTTATCAGGGAAAGTGCCAAGATCTTAGACTGTTTAATTAAATGCCATGATAATATGCATAGGTGAAGTATTCACACAGTTTCAGCCCCAACATTTCTTTAAAGAGCCAGACTTCTGATCCTCAAAGAATTTCATCTGCATTTCAGCTTGGCTTTAAGGCGTGACCCTCCGGCCTTAGGACGGCTGTTATGTACTAAAGCTTATAGGTTCTGCTACAGCACAGCCAATGGTTGTGATAATGGGAGTTGTAGTCTAATAACAGGTACCTCACCCCTTCTTTAATGAAATCTACCACCATTATACAGTTTAAAAAGCCCCATCCCTCTGGCTCCTGAGCTGCCTATTTTAGGCAGCGACCCAAAGCTGTTCACCAATCCATTTACACGTAAATAGTATCCCAGGAACAAAAATATTACCAGATTCAGTTTCGTTGGCTGGTATTTGTTACGATATTTTTTAAACTGTTGTATAGCTAAATGCTGTCATTTTATTTCATAGTGTCTTTTACTGTCATATTCTATATACCACTCTGGGTTCCTTGAAAGTAAAACATGAGACGAGTATGTGCCTTGATTTGGAAAGAAACAAATGGAGAAATCAAACAGTGAAGGAAAATGCCATGCAATTACAGTTTCACACACAATCAGCTTTAAATGGATTGTCCCATATGATGCAAGTTTAATTGGCTATTTTAACAAGTGCTATATTGACATTATAAAACTTCCTCGCAGAATAGTTTGGTAATTAAGCCATATGTTTTAAACATATTTTATATATTTCAAAATAGCCTGACAATTGTCCCATTGAGACAGTGGCAAACGGACACTATAGACAGTAAGCCCAAAGCTACAGGTATTTATTTTCAACTACGAGTGCAAATACATTATTATACTGATAATAACAAATACTGATATTATGCCTACACTATTATACAAAAATCTCTGCCATAACAATAATTATAAAATACAGCAACCCCAATTAAGGCTGGAAAAAGGTGAACCAATTTTGGAATTGCTTAATCTACTGATATCAGATATAAAAAATCCTATATTAGGAGAGGAAAAGTTACAGAAAATTGGATTTCACTCGTTTTATTTATAGATTCCAGGTGCCAGCCAGACTACTTGTTCTGACCTCAAACACCATCCTCTGATATGTGCAGCAAGCCTTGCTTGATTTTAAAAAGGACAGATGTCAAGTACTGCAATCTGCATATAGATTATATGCTAGGGACATTCACAGCGAGAGGGCAGGTGTCAAAAAAGTCAGAATAGCTGCGGCAACCACAAGATCTTGCTCGGATGCTGCATTCTGGTTACGGCTTCAATCTTCAGTCTTATTCATGGGAACAAATGTGCTAGGCTGACCCCCCTCTGTCCTCTTCCTTATCATTACATCAGTTAATTTTATAAGTAGGATGCCTTACTTTAGAGGCAACAAATATTGCATTGTAGTTATTAATTCAAATTATTTGTTATCTCGGTCCTGTCCTGTCCTTTTTTCAAATATAGTTTCTGGACAGTGTGCGTGTATAGACCGATATTTCTCTACATCTGGTATATGTGTATATTCTTTTGGGGGTGGGGGAATCTTCAAGATTGGTTTCATAGGATTCTTGACTTTATATTTTTTCAGTCTACTTTTTCTTTTGGATGAATTCTCTTAAGCTCAGGTTTTCTTTCTGTTGGGTAAATGGACATATTAATTCTAGGTGGTGATTTGGAGCCTAAGATTCACGTATCCACTTAAAGAGCCACGAACCCCACTCTTGCTGTGGCACTCCAAGGCAAACAGTGTCATGATAATGTCACATTTTTTAACCTAATAGAAAATCCAAATTATCTCCCTACCATACACTATGTACGCAGCCACTCACTCATTGTAACGTGTGTGTGTGTGTGTGTGTGTGTGTGTGTGTGTGTGTGTGTATATATATATATATATATATATATATATATATATATA